CTGAAAGTGGAAGATGTGAAAACGAAGATTGGCTGTGAGATCTCTTGGCTGCGAGATCTCTTGGCTGTGAGAAGATCTCTTGGCTGTGAGATCTCTTGGCTATGAGATCTCTTGGCTGTGAGATCTCTTGGCTATGAGATCTCTTGGCTGTGAGATCTCATAGCCAAGAGATCTCTTGGCTGTGAGATCTCTTGGCTTTGAGATCTCTTGGCTGGGAGATCTCTTGGCTGTGAGATTTCTTGGCTGTGAGATCTCTTGGCTGGGAGATCTCTCGGCTGTGAGATCTCTTGGCTGTGAGATCTCTTGGCTGTGAGATTTCTTGGCTGTGAGATCTCTCGGCTGTGAGATCTCTTGGCTGGGAGATCTCTTGGCTCTGAGATCTCTTGGCTGTGAGATCTTGGCTTTGATATCTCTTGGCTGTGAGATCTCTTGGCTGGGAGGTCTCTCGGCTGTGAGATCTTTTGGCTTTGAGATCTGATCGCTGTGAGATCCCTTGGCTTTGAGATCTCTTGGCTGGGAGATCTCTTGGCTGTGAGATCTCTTGGCTGTGAGATCTCTTGGCTGTGAGATCTCTTGGCTTTGGGATCTCTTGGCTGGGAGATCTCTTGGCTGTGAGATCTCTTGGCTGTGAGATGTCTTGGCTGTGAGATCTCTTGGCTGTGAGATCTCTTGGCTGTGAGATCTCTTGGCTTTGAGATCTCTTGGCTGTGAGACCTCTTGGCTGTGAGATCTCTTGCCTGTGAGATCTCTTGGCTGGGAGATCTCTCGGCTGTGAGATCTTTTGGCTTTGAGATCTGATGGCTGTGAGATCCCTTGGCTTTGAGATCTCTTGGCTGTGAGATCTCTTGGCTGTGAGATCTCTTGGCTGGGAGATCTCTTGGCTGTGAGATCTCTTGGCTGTGAGATCTATTTGCTCTGGGATCTCTTGGCTGTGAGATCTGTTGGCTGTGAGATCTCTTGGCTGTGAGATCTCTTGGCTGGGAGATCTTTTGGCTGTGAGATCTCTTGGCTGTGAGATCTCTTGGCTTTGAGATCTCTTGGCTGGGAGATCTCTTGGCTGTGAGATCTCTTGGCTGTGAGATCTCTTGGCTGGGAGATCTCTTGGCTGTGAGATCTCTTGGCTGTGAGATCTCTTGGCTTTGAGATCTCTTGGCTGGGAGATCTCTTGGCTGTGAGATCTCTTTGCTGTGTGCAATATGAGATGCGTTGCACATCCATTGCCATCCGGAACACGGAAGTTAGACCTTCAAACTTCCTTGGACAAATCTATACATGTATATATGTATCTATGTATCTATGGAAATATGATATATGGAAGTAGGTAATTAACTATATATATATGTATATTTGTAAGAATGAAAATGTGTATACGTATATGTATACATACATGTATGCATGTATGTATGTATGTATGTAGGTAGGTATGTAGGTATGTAGGTATGTAGGTATGTAGGTATGTAGGCATGTAGGCATGTAGGTATGTAGGTATGTAGCTATACAGGTATGTAGGTATGTAGGTATGTAGGTATGTATGTATGTATGTAGGTATGTATGTAGGTAGGTATGTAGGTATGTAGGTATGTAGGTGTGTAGGTATGTATGTATATAGGTATGTATGTATGTATGTATGTATGTATGTATGTATGTATGTATGTATGTATATGTAAGTGTATACGTAAATGTATATGTATATATGAATATATGTATTGATAGATTTAGGTATAGATAAATGATATAGGTATCCGCTATACAAATAACCCAGTCTTAGAGTCTGGTAACTTAGGTGAATATATCCATCGAGCAAGAAATGCTTGGGAATCTTAAGATGCGCATCTTTCAGTCCTCTCCAAGACCGGGTCATGTCTTCACGCAGACCTCTTGAGGAAATGGAATGCAAGACTCTTAGTGGTTGTTCATTTATGTTACATTACATTACATTGCGTTGCATTACAGTAGACTAGATTTGACTAAATGCATTAAATCAGATTAGATTAGATTGCGTTGCACTAAATTACGCTACGTTACACTACGTGGCATTACATTCACAACAATCACGGTGAATATAATCTTGTATATGTGTGCGCGTGGGCATGCGAACGCGTGGTCACAGATGAGTTCGACATGAAAAATCATGGAGACTGCATCCCGTCTGCCCCCAGTTCATTGCTAAAGCAAGTCCAACTCCGACTAGCAAGTTAGCTTTCGTGATCTATATTCACTGCATGCTAATGGATGTAAATATTATGATCGGTTGTATGATTTGATATTGCTTGCAGATGCTTGATGATATTGAATTGGAAGTCTTGATCTGCAACGACTTGCAGTTCTTGCGGATCCTTTTACGTGTTTGTCGCTCACATCATAAAACACTTTGTGAGTCAAACATAGTCAAACTACAAATAACATCCTTCATGAAGAAGTGTAAAAATATAATATAGATGGTGTTAATGCCGTGCAGTCGTGTTTTCCAAAGTTTCCATCTGGGGAATCTGTACTGAGGTATGAATGTAATGGCCGTCTTACAAATAGTGCAGTGTGGGGTCTGTACTGTACTGCATTGACATCTGCTCTGTTGACTTTTAGTGTCAACGAGAACAAATTTATATATGTCGTTCAAAGTACCCTACGTTTCAGAGCATCGCATGGTCAATGCACAGTACCACACAAGATTTTCATGATACGAGTATCATGTATTGTGGTTCAACCAAGCATCATGTGATGCACGTATATATGTGTGGAGATATGGATGCATATATTGAGACATCCTTGCATGGATGTCTCGGTGTACTCATCGACGAATGACGATCTGTGTGCTGCATGATTTGTGCCTGCATGTCTGCAGGCTTGTTGGATTGCAATCTGATGTGATGTTCTACAATATAGTTTAGTGCAATGGTGTGCTTACTGTAATGTAGTATGGTCCAGTAGGGTTGTGGCCTTCGATGTACTGTACATTGGTCCGTAACATTGTATAACATTGTTCCATTAGCGTGTCAGATATGTTCGATGCTGTTCGAATGTACAGCCACTGTGAGACTTGCCAGCACTGCCTTGGAGGTGAACTGCACATGTTGAGCATTGCCTGGACCTGATATTGACCTGGGCGACGCTTTTTGATGCTGTGCACTCAAAGGCGCTGCATGAAGACAGAGAATGCCCAGTTGGCTGATGGATTTTGGAAGAAGAAGCAGGTTATGCACAATGTGTTGTTTATGATCAACTATTTTTTCTTGATTTCAAGGTCACTGAAGATCTTTCAACTTGATATTGAATGATATTGAACGTGGCCGGCTCAGGGATTAAAACCTGAATTCGGGTACAGTACCCTGAAAAGGTCATGGACTGAATGCTGCAGGTGCGACAGACCTTCGATTTTTCTCTTAGTCTGTGACAAGCCGTCCATGTGATGAGCTTGCAGCAGATTGGCAGTGGATAGGTCACCTGGAGACACCTGCGCATCAAAATTCCCAAACATAGTGGTGGATGTGGAGGTAGATTGAGCTGGGCAAAAGATGAGCTGGGCGAGACTTTGCAACAGCGCGCAGGCAAGGCCTGGGTTTTCTTGGCCATCTGCGCCTGGGTGCTGTCCAAGAACGGATTCCAAGGCACAGGGACTTAGATAAGACATGCAAACACACAAGTACACACACACACATTTGCATATTCAATGTAAAACTTCTCCATATTACCAAACAATAGGGAATTTGGCAAATTCTTAATGTGAGATCTTCGCATACCAAAATTCAACTTGCACGTCTCATTGCTGCCTTTCATTTTCTTTCACTGGAATTAGAGGCCATCGCTGCACGGCGCAAAAGCCGAACGGTTTCAATGTGGACGTCGCTGCCCTTGGTCGAGCTGTGGCATCATCATTCGGAGGAATAATGAGAATATTTCAAAGCGCTCAGACCAAACAAAAAGAACATATCCTTTCAAATTGTCATAAATTATCCAAGTTGCATCGATCACGTTTCCTTTCAATTTGCCAGCTTTGTTTTTTTCACTTCTTCTGCGTTTTTGCTTCAGTACCTGTTTGCAGCGAAGGCGTGGAACATGTTTGCATGTCAGCTGACACCCAGAAAAATACATACGTAAAAGAACAGCAATCCTACCAATCGTTCAAACAATGCGTGACAAATGTCACAATGCTTCCCTTAACGACGGATTGCAATTTTTGACAGAAACAATATGGACGGTGCAGGTCGAATGTTTCAACCCATGAGGAGACGGTTCTGAGGAATTTATTTTTCCATCTTTTGGCGCCGCTCATTCAGAAACTTCTTTGGCGATTGCATCCAAAATTTTGCTAACATCGATTTTGATTGATTCTGCAGACTGGCAAATCACCATAGTCATTGTCTTCCTGGCCTTCTGCAGCCATTCGTTCACATCTATGTCCTGTGCAAACGGATGTTAGGACACAAATCCTGCTTGGTCCAAACGAACAACTAAAGAACATGTAAATGAAAAACGATGAAAAACACGCCTATGAAGAGATACTTTGGTGGAAAACTTCGGAACCCAAGTAGCTTGGCTGCAACAACAAGGGTTGAAAGGTTCTGGCTGACGTTCCCAAGCCTCTTTCCGTTCCACTTCCATAGCTTCACGAACGATGTCGTGGATCTCACCTGACGGTGAAAGGAGTGTGCGTGTGTGTGTGTGTACAACAGATGTAAAACTTCTACCTGATGATGTTGTTTTTTGCTGTTCGTTTGGGTTTCGGTTTTCTCTTCGTGATGCTCTGTCAACCTCAACTGCCGTTTTCAATTTCAATATCCATTTTAGAGCAGGGGGTAGCGGCAGACCATTTGGGACCGCTACCAACGAAGACACCCATTTGATCTGGTGATACAGATTGGGACGCCAATCTGCGTACCTGCGCCATTTTTCATTTCTCGTCAATGGCAACCGGCTAAGCCCAGAGCCGGCATCTCGTTTTTGCAAATTTCACAATTTCTGCACAGCTGTCGCAATCTGTCAACTTATTTCATCTAGCATGGACTTTGGCGATAGTTTCTTCGCATTCATTCTCGGGTCTTTTCACCAACCAATTCCTGTCAGATATAATTGGAGTGTTTTTGCACGTAAGATGCATTCCACATCAGAATTCGCAATGATTGTGATTCATGCTGGATTTGTCACAGTGGCATGAACCCTTCGGGGAATACCTTTCCAGGTAGGAGGGTGAATCCTGGACTTGATCTCTGAATTCAGAATTGCAGCCACAAGAGATCCTTTGGTTAGCATCAGTCAACCCCATCATGTGCAGCATGAATGGTGAATCAGCCGCGTGTGACCTGGCCTCTATCTCCTTCTGAAAATGGGCGTGACTCAATAGACGCCCTGCTGATCCGTGAGTTGTATATCTCCAGTCCTGACAGGCCCAGTATTGGTATGGTGTGACGAAAGCTTGGATGCGAGCACCTTGAAACTGTTTCAAGAGTCGAAGGCACAACTGCTGGGCTTATTTGCAAGGCATAGCAGTGACGCTATTTTGATACTAGATTGTAACCCACTGCTGAACCGGAAGGGAAGCTTGTAGCCTTTGTTTTTTGTTTTGAGCCAGTGTGATTTGCCTTGGAAATCAGCGGAGGCCTTGGGATGTTCAAACATGTTGGAACTCTAGACCGCTAGATCGGACTTTGGAACTGGAGGGTCCCCAGCTTGCAACGTGCTATACTAGGCATAGTCGTGGCATTTTGTGTCCAGCGAAACAGTGTAGATTCCTGGATGAAAAAACCAAAGATGAGATAGGAGTCATGGGACCTCTCTGACCATCCGTGCCTCTTGGCTGAGATCTTGCCAGGATTCAATTGGCTCAATGCAACTGCGTTGTAACCACAGCCGTGTGCAACTCAATGCAACCATGGACATGTTACGGAAAAGCCCGGGGTCACTCCATGACGGACAAACGTTTTCCCAGCAGAAGATTGGATAAGTATGGATAAGTTGTAAGCGGTATAGGAATGTAAAGGAGTTTAACCCCCTGTGTGCTCAGTCTCACGCAATACCTCTCCTGCGTCACCGCCTACAGAAAGGCGCCTTGCATGGCCGACCTGTTCGGCTCCCAAATGAAGAACCCAATGCTCTTGTGAAAGGATGTGAAAGGCGTTCTCAATGCACTTCTGTCAATCCAACCGGTGTTAGAGATGGCTCCAGCACACATTTTGGCACCTCCATGGCAGTACTTGGTCGTCGCGAATTGGGGCCTGAAGAAATTCACACGACTTGTGTCTTGGGGATTAGCCGCCATGAGCCCAAGGCACTAACCATCTTTGCCCTGGGATTCTTCTAACCCTCTGGCATAGGAATGGAACATCCAGCAGTAGCCATGTCTATGATAAACGTCTCTCCTACTTACGATGGAATTGGACCCAGCTTTGATTTTCCATAGTTATAAGATGTTACAAGCATAACTTTCCAAACAGGTACAAGTAACACTGTCTTACACATGCAAGCTTCGAATGCACCAAACTCATGACTTCCCAGGTTTGACGATTTTCAGTCCAATTTCCCATGTTTGTCGATGTTTGTCCTGTGTTGTCTTCAGACAGCTGGTCGACGAAGGATTGAATGGAGACGCGTCGTTTAGACCTCTTCCTCGATGGGCTGCATACCGGCCCTTCTTGCATGAAGGATCATGAATGGCTTTAAAAAGTAATTCAAAACATTAGTCAAACACATTCAAAGACAGTAAGTGTATTTAAATGCCACTGCATGTCATTGCATAATTCTTTCCCTAGAGAGTCGCTGCACCGGAGCCTTTTTGCATCTTGGCATTCACATTTTGCAACCGGGATAAGGAAGAACTGCAAGAAAACTCTCTGAAAAAAAACGTATGCCATCGTATGTCCCCAGCTCAACATATCTCGCTCCATATCTCGCTCCATATCTCAACATATCTCGAACATGTTTCCATCAACAAATCCGATACTGACAGTGAGAAACTCAGCTATACGTCAAGCACGAAGCAGAGCATGTCCGAATTTCACTCTCATATCAAGCATTCACCAAACATATCAGGATGACATGTCAAGATTCATCAAGTCATGTCCTAGCAACATCAAAACATATCATCGATCATCAAAGGAAGCTTAGTTAGGAAATTTCCGAATTACGAACGATTGTCATGGTTAGCTTTATATCATGATGATGGCAGCCGCGTCATCACCTCAATCTTCATGGCAACCACATCATCATGCAAGTAGTTGGGAAATGTGAGAGATCGGGATCGCGTGAATTCAGGATTGAAAACACTCTCGGTCGCGAAACCCGGTATTTTTTCGGGTAAAGTGGCTATTTGTCGCCAAAGGAGGGTCTCTGTTTCCGCAGTTGCGCGGCTCGATCGGGGAAAGTGGTCGACAAAAAGTGCAACAGGACTGACGCGAGAGCTCGATTTCCACTTGAAAATGTTAAAAAAACTGCGGGTTTCGAAGCACTTTTGGAAGATGAGGCCGACAAAATGTGCACAGCACTGTAGCGAGAGTTCGATTTCACGTCTCGGAGCACTTCTATAAAATGAGGTCGGCAGCAGGTGCACGAGACTGAAGCGAGAGCTCGATTTACACTTGAAGATGCTAAAACACTGAGGGTCTCGGGGCACTTTCCAATCGGCAAAAGGTGTACGAGACTGTAGCGCGAGCTCGGTTTCCACTTGAGAGAATGTTACAAAAACTGATGGTCTCGGAGCACTTTTGGAAGATGAGGTCGGCAAAAGGTGCACGAGACTGTAGCGAGAGCTTGGTTTCCACTTAAATTGCCATACCACATGACACTATCAAGTTGCATGCACAAAAACAGGCCCAACCTCTGAACGTGCCTGGTCCTTTTTGAGCTGGGAATGCCACACATCCTTCACGATTGAAGATTCTACATGGGTAGCTAGTGCACACATCTTGCACTGCCAACACAACATGAAGTTCACATCGAACATTGACCCATGTCAGGCAACTCCCCTGACACTCCTGGTCCAGCAAGGTGGACGAATTGGAGATCGCGAATGTCTGTAGCGCAGACTCCACTCAGGGTGGGTGGGTGAGGTGAGTGGAGTCAAGATGAACTTCTCATCATATAACTTCCCACCCACCCACCCTGAAATGAACTTGATAGCGGCGTTCATGTGACACACATTCACTTCACGTTCATGACAAGGACACATGTTGCAGGCAACAATGAGTCTCTTGCCATACCACATGACACTATCAAGTTGCATGCACAAAAACAGGCCCAACCTCTGAACGTGCCTGGTCCTTTTTGAGCTGGGAATGCCACACATCCTTCACGATTGAAGATTCTACATGGGTAGCTAGTGCACACATCTTGCACTACCAACACAACATGAAGTTCACATCGAACATTGACCCATGTCAGGCAACTCCCCTCTTGTGCATACATGGGACAACAACTTTGTGGCTACAGCCATTTGGGTCGCATTCTGATGAAACCTGCCTCCACAAGCTGTACAATTTCGAAACGCGATGGTTTATCAGCCACATTTGACAGCGACGGCACGCGCGACGTCCACATGAAGATCGACTTGCTTCTCACTAACTCCCAAAGATGTTGAAGCATTCGAGCATGAGTGAAGATAGGTGACGACATGGAAATAAGGCTAGCTCTCGCAGCTTCATTGTCGATGAAAAGAAAGGCACGCCTTGCTACCAAAAAATCTTTGAGTATATCAACTGCCATCACTGCAGCTAAAAGCTCCAGGCCAGCAATCACTTTCGGCGTGTTCACTTGAAGTTTTTCCAACACTTCCTTGGGCACACGCTCTGAGAGGAAGAACTTTTTGGTAGGAATGCCATCACGACACACCATGGCAACCATGCCAATGCCAGCCGTCCTGTCGTTGTCTTCCAGGCATGCATCTGTGAAGATAACTACTCTGACACTGCTTTGGTCAACTTTCAGGATTCGTGGACAATCTTCTGCTATGAAGCCCTTCGCCCATTGGAGCTCCTTCATCATGTCATCATCCAAGTTTGAGCCCGGCTTGGCCCCGGTGGCTCTGGAGTTGCAAGAGCGCATGAACAAGCTGATAGCTCTCCCAAAAGTCTGGCTTTCAGCAAACTGCAATCGACCACGCAAAGACGAGGCAGTAGAGGAGCTGAAGGCTCTGGAGCTTACAATCTCTGAGATTTCAAGCTGAATCTGGTTAACTCTCGACTCTTTGTTGCGCACTAAAACCAACCCAGACTTGCTGGCACTCAGATCCACATCCACTCCTAGCACCGAGAAAATGGGAGACATAGGCTTTCGTTTTGCTTCTTTTACGGAGTATTTCCAGCCCACCAAATCCAGAAACTTCTCCGCCGTCATTTGCGAAGAGTCACCCATGGCAGCCAAATCAAACTGCGTGAAGTCATCGAAATAACACACCCAGGCAAGTGAAAATAAGCGAGCACCAATCATCTGCAAAGCTTTCGAAAACCTATTGAAGCAGTAAACTGAGGCCGAAGCTCCAAATGGCAGCACCTGCGAAATGAAGAGAAAAGGCTCACCACTTGGATTCCTCACCTGCAAGACGCTTGCCCATAGCGATGACTGACGCACAAGCAGCTGCTTGTAGGCCGAGTCCAGGTCCAAGGTGCGACCAAGAATTCTCCTGGCCTCATCCAAGTTCAGGGAAGGATGAAGCTCGCCTTCTATGACTTGGCCATCACTGAGCGCTAAGCGAACAGTACCACTGTCATCCACTGCACCTGCGAATGTCCTTGCCAGAACTGCCACTCCATCGACTCCATCCAATTCCAAAAGGTAGCTTGCCGAGAAGCTCGAGTTCACCAAGCTGATCGACATATCATCTATGGGTCTAGTTTTGTCCGACTGCCTCAAGCCGAACCTCGGTGACACCACATAAAGTGGCCCTAGTTCTTTTCGCACTTGGGGCTCTGTCAAGGGCCCTTGGAGCCATCCTCTTTTCACCTCGTCCATGGTGATGTTCCACACCTCCTCCTGCAGGGCTGACATCTGCTACACCTGAATCCTTCGCTGCAACCATCTTCCTACTCCATCTCGAGGATTTCATGAGCTGGGTGTCATCCATGGCAGGAGGTTGTTGTTCAACAGGAGAGAAAAGGCCTGTTGCACCTGAAATCCCTGTCAAGGGGGCTCCCGACAGTTGCAAGTCTGCTAAACCATCATCGTGGACACCAGCATCACGGCACATCTCGGCCAAAAGAAGGACTCTCTTGTCCTCAACCAAGACTCTTCTATTTGCTGGCAACTGGGCGTGCAGCTTTTCCTCTTCTTCTTGAAGTTCTACAGCTCTTTTGGCATAGTATTCCAAGGCTTTCTGCCGCTTGGTTGCCATTGCCGCTGGCCCTTCAGTGAGGACTTCAAAGATGTACATCTTGATGTCGTCTGTCACCGCTTCCGAAGAGTCAAACGGGTGACTCAACTTCAGTGCCTCTTCCACGAATTCCGCCTCTGTCCTCAGGATGGCGAGCTTCGCACACAACTTCATTGGGTTCTGGCCCTCATCATCAGCTCCTTGCCGCTTTTCACATGTGAGGGCTTTGGTGTGAGCGGGCACGCCAAAGAAGGCTGCTTCCTCAGAGGATAACAGCCTTGGCAGTTTGAGAGGCTTGGCAAAAGGCCAAGTCACGGTGAAGGTACTCTTGTATTCGGAAATCACCTCTGGCAGGCGGTTTCCACGTGGCTGTCGACCCGCAGCAGCCATCTTTGAAGGGGCTGGTCGAGAAGGGGCTTTCGGCAGAGGTACCACTTCCTGAACACCTGCATGCAAGGCTGCCTCTGAGGTGGCAGCTGCTATCCGCTCGCACAAGACAGGAGGGTACTCTGCTTCTTCTGCAGTATTGAACTTATACTTTTTGCCATCCTTGGTGACACCCCACGGCAGATGAGAGTGTTGCCCATCACATTCCATAGCCAAGAAGGTCAACCAGGGCGCGTTGGTGTAAAACGTAGACCACTTGTCACGCTTTCCCCCATGCATGCATTGTTGGAAAGTCACTGCACGCAGGTTGAATCGTTCAATGAGCTGCTTCATCCAACTCGTTTGCCACATCCAGGAACGAGTAGGGTTCTCCACAGAAACGTAGGCACCGGCAATGATTGCTTGGGACAACACTGTTGCAATGTTGGCATAGATGCGGTTGGCCAGGGTGACCCGCTTCAAGTCAGTGCCTTGCAATGTGGGTAGACCATGTGGGAATTGTGCATTCCGCAAAGGGGAAGGCTCCTTCACTCCAAGGCGACGCACTGCTCTCTTGAGACGACGCTCCCTGGCTCGAGAACACTTTCCACATGGAGGCGCAGCATGCACATAGAAAACTCGACCCGGCTGCTTCAGAAGTGACAGCAAAAATTTTACCGCTTCTTCACTAGCAAGGTCTAAGGCCACTGTGGCATAAGCCTGTTTATGCTTGTTGGACTTCTGATCCACTGCCATTGCTCTAAAACCTTTGGCTGCAAGAGAGGCAGAAAGACGCGCGCAACCTGCGCAAAGTTCTATGGTGAAAACAGCATTCTTTGGAGCGCCGTCAAAGATGCTCCTGGTGACACTATCTGGCTCCTTCACGGATGGCGCAAAGGAGCTAAGTGAAGATCACTTGTGATTGCGCTGAGAGTGCACTGCCTGACATCCAGGACGAGTGCACATGTGCCATCCTCGTGGGCAGCGCTGTCCAGGGGCCGCCTCGTTACAGCCATCCAAATTGTAGCTGTAGCAAATAGGCTCTCCCTGATCTGTCATGGGAGACTGCCCAACAAGCTCTGGGGGCATTTTCACCGTAGACTTGTAAGAGCGACCCATCATGCCTTTGCTTCCACGACCCAGGCCTTTGTTTCCTTTGCCTGTTGGTGGCTGTTTCGACGATCCACGACTTTTCAAATTGCGAACTTGCCCAGTGAGGTTCTCGATGGTGCGTTTCAACTTGGCAATGTCATCCGGCGAGTGCTTGGCTTTGTTGGCGGTCTCCGGTTCCAAGTCATCATGCTTTCGCTTGATGCCACTGCCTGACCCTGCTGGCAACGGAGCAAGGCGCAGTCGAATTTCCGCTGAAGTGATTGCACGATCCAGGATAGCTTCAAGGGGGGCCACACCACCACTGGGACGGATTCCTTCCCTGCTGTGCTTCATGAGGAATTTGAAGAGTTCCAAATCTGCCCTTTGGATTTGATCCAGACTGACCTTCTTGTAGCCATCGATTGGAAGTGCTGAGTAAGCTTCCAGCATAGTCCTGGACCAACGCTCCATCTTTTCGTAGTCGATGATCCTAGCCTGATCCAGCGCCAGACTCCTGCGCTGCAAACAGTGCTTCAGGTGCAAGTCAGAACTGGTGTCTGCAAGGGCTTCTTCCTTCTGTCTGACCTCTCGCACAACTCCATCTGCACCAGGTTTCCACAGAGGGTCATGTCGAATTCCAAGAAGCTCTTGATCTCGTTTTGTGCACTGTTCCCACCTGATGTGCCGCAATTGGTTTTCTTCCAGCATATGGAATACCAAATCTACCAGGGCGTGTGAGGGTTCTAACTCCCCCACCAGCTCCAACCCAGCAAGACGAACCTGCTGGTCTTTGTGCCTTGCTGCACGCTCTGCTTGAGCAAGTTTTCGAGGTTGCTCATCATCCTTGCGATCTACTCTCGACCTCAAGTCTGCATTGGCCAATGTGTAGCTCTCGAAGAAAAGGCGTCTAATGACTGGCACACGTTCCTCTGGGGGTGGCGCAGCTTCACACACTCTCTCTATAAGCGTCAGAAGCGGCTGGTCGTCCGCTTGTCCTGGCACATAGCTGCATCCATATGCCAGCTTCCCAAAGGTGTCCAGGTTGAGCACCTCTAGTCTCGCAAGCTCAGCTGCAGTCACTCCGATGCTGGCAGCACGATCCTTGAAAGCAGCAGCCGAATCCAACATTTTACCTAAGTAGCCAACATTCTGTAAGCCGTGACATGTCTGCGGGATCTGAGTCTCAACCACTCATGCAATGACAACATCAGGTTACAACGCAAGTTGGAGTCAGATAGAGAAAGAGAGAGGAGACATGCACATCAAAGACGACTCAGAGAAAACAACTTACTAAGCTGCACTCGTTCAAAGCACTGAAGCGGCCTACATCCATTTAAATGCCCAAGAACAGCAAAATCAAAAGAAAAATTTACGACTGCGTGGACATGTCTGCGAAACTGTTCACTTGGCTTGACCTGCTTGACAGCTTTGTTGCCCCTCACCTGTTCACTACGGTCCTGCTTCTCTCTGCGCACTTCTTCCCCGGACTTCCCGGCGCGCTTGAGAGCCTCTGGGCGACAGCTGCCACAGGAGTATTTGAGTTGCATCGGTTTTCAAAAAGAAGATGTCACTCAACCTAGTTGCACATCGCAACACATTACCTCAATGTGCTCAAGAGCAAGCTGTCATGCAACTTTTCCTGGGAGACAACATTGGTGCCCTATACATAGTGCCCAAAGCAATGCTGACACTTTGGATACACTAGGTCAGTTGAGTCTGAGAAAACGTAATACGCCTCAGACAACAACCGACCACACCCTGTCTTGTCACTGTGCAAGACGTGACCGTAATGAAGCATCCTTGTTCTTGAATGCCTGAAAGCTCTCATGGTGTCACAACTTCCTGACGGTGCTTTCGTACCACTAGCCTCAGTGACTGAGGCTAAAAGAGCGTGACTTTGCTCTTCTTCCTCGCTTGAGGAGCCACTTGCACTGTCCGATTCCTCACTAGAGGAGCTGGAGCTGTCAATGGTCTGTGCTTTGCTTGCAGCCTGGGTTTCTTCGTTCCAGACTCCCACAGAGGGGTGGTACAGGGCATACTCTTCAGTCGAGCTGAGATGCTCCACCAGCCCTGTCCTGGGTATGCCTGCTAATACCAACATCCTGCCAAGCCTGTCATTTGCCTTTGCATCTTCCTCTACAGTGAAGCGCGTCCTGTCTCCCATCATGATCCTTGCCACTTCAGGCACTGAGTTCCCAACATGCTGCTCGAACACTTGGTTCATTGGCAGAATCATATCGGCCTGTGGAAACACATGATCACGAGGGGCATCAGGAACAAAGCGGCCATCATGAACCTCTGCCAACATGCCCACCAGCTGCCGGATGGGATGACTCAACGCGTCTCTGGTATAATTTAGGGCTGAACCATGCTCCTTGTTGACGTGGAAGCCTAAAATCTCATTCACTTCGAAGGTACTTCCCCAGACATTCATGTAGGAAAGAAGAGTGGCTTTCAGCGAGTGACTACTGATTCCCTCTATATCTTGCTGACTGAAGCCCAGGCCCAAGATAGCCCTCAAGCGGTCCGACAGCTCCGACGACTTCAAGGGGAGGTTGTCACCTGTTTCGAAAGACGAAGCACTCGGCACCAGCACATAGCCGACATCATTGGACCTCGATGCCAAGCTTGGTACTTCATCCAAGCCCAGCTCACTTCGGGACAGCAGGAATTCGTGCAGCCAGTTCCTGCCTAAGAGGCCAAAGGCAGGGCAGCCTAGTGGCAAGAAGGATGTCGCTTTCTCCTTGCTCTTTGCCGTCTTAGTCCGGCTCAAGGCACCTTCATAGTAGCGGCCGATCAAGGATGCATGCCGAAGCCTATTAGCGTCGGATGCCCTCATTCTGCCCATAGCACACAACATACAAAGCCCTGCCACCACTCGGTCGAAAGTGCTGGGCAAGGCGAAGCATGCTACTTCAAGCCAGCATAGCATAGACGGGCTCAACTCCTTTGCCCTAGCTCGAGGTGCTTTGGTCAAGAACAAGCCGTGACTTGCTCCTTCAACTCTGGGAGATGCAGCAGCCTCCAGAGCACCTGGAAACTGAAAAACATTTCCAACATATTTCAAGGTCCCCAGCAAAGTCTCCACACGCGAAGCACTCTTACCATGATCCCTGCAGTCGCACGCATATTCGTAAAGAGCTTCTTCATCAATGGGGAAGAAGGGGTCACTGGGCTTCTGCACTTTGAACCATGCCAGGAAAAGTCCCAAGGATCCAACTCTTTGCTTGATTGTCGAAGTGGCCTTCTTCCTAAAAAGGTCCTCCATGACTCGCATGGCTGACTCACCTGAACCTGCACATCGCAAGAGCATTTTTCCCGGTGGAGTAGCCTCAGGATCTAACATAAAGATGTCACACCATTTCATCAGTGCAGAAGCTCTCTCTGCGTCCGCGTGCTGCTGTGTCTGGTCATACACAGCATCACGAACCACAATCTTCTTCTGACACACCGGCAATGATTCAATCTTTGCACGTTTGCTAGGAGGAGGCACAACAAGGCTACGCAAGGAGGGCAAAGCAGGAGACGATAAGTGCGTCGGATCGCCAAACACTTGCCTCAAGAAGATGTTCGATTCCCATGGCTGCTTCGGATAAGCGTGGATGCTGCCCAAACTTAAGGCCACATCCAACTCACGCTCCACACCACTCATTAGTGAGGATTGCCCCACTTTGAGTGGAGTCAAGATGAACTTCTCATCATATAACTTCCCACCCACCCACCCTGAAATGAACTTGATAGCGGCGTTCATGTGACACACATTCACTTCACGTTCATGACAAGGACACATGTTGCAGGCAACAATGAGTCTCATGATTAAAAAAACTGAGGGTCTCGGAGCACTTTTGGAAGATGAGGTCGGAACAATGTGCACGAGACTGTAACGAGAGCCCGATTGTTCACATCATCATGCAAGTAGTTGGGAAGTGTTTAAGAAATCGAGAACCCGTGAATTCAGGCTTGAAAACATTATGGGGCGCGAAATCCTATATTTTTTCCGTCGCCAAAGGAGGGCCTCTGTTTCCGCAGTTTCGCGGCTCGATCAGGGAGTGGTCGGCAAAAAGTGCACAGGACTGAAGCGAGAGCTCGATTTCCACTTGAACATGTTAAACAAATGCAAATGAGGGTCTCGAAGCACTTTTGGAAGATGAGGTCGGCAAAATGTGCACGAGACTGTAGCGGGAGCCCGATTTCATATGTCAACCACATCATCATCATCATGAAAGTTGTTGGTAAGTGTACGAGGTCGGGAACGGGGGAATTCAGGCTTTCAAACACTCTCGGGCGCGAAACCCTGTATTTTTTGGGGTAAAGTGGCTGCCGTGGTCGCCGAAGGAGGGTCTCATTCATTCGTTCGTTCATTCATTTTATTCACTCACTCACTCATTCATTCTTTCTTTCATTCCGTCCGTTCAGCCTTTTATTCACTTCATTCATTGCATTCTTCAATTTTCTTCAATTCATTTCATTTCAATTCACTTCTTTCCAAGTCACCAGGAATTCCTATAAGCAAACTGTTTCCTATAGTCCTATTTTCGAAACTTCCGCCCCGGCGCGTGCCGGGCACTACCTGGTACATATCATATCAAGGGTCTTCTTCTCAGGCCCTTCGCGACGTGTTCCGCGCGTGTAGTGTCGAGCTGAAGGACGTAGGCGATTGATGCCCTGGCACATCCCACATAAGCCAAACATCTGTAGACCCTCTTGATGCCTTCATGATGCCTACATGATGTTTAGCTAGACTTGCTGCGCCGGCTAGTTACTATAACCATCGAATCCATAACCCATCATGGATGCCTTAGATTCTCCCTGAATCTTGGATCCCATCATATGCCAAAGTCTTGCGTCAGCCTCAAGGAAGGACTCTCCAGGCTGATCGCCGAACTGACTCATCATGTAATCTTCTGCGCCAGTCTCCAAGATACCTGGCATACAATTGGGGATGAATACCGATGAACATGTCAGTTCCAAGTATCAACGTCCAATGACACAGGCTTCTCCAACATGAGGCTGAAAGTGTACAACTTCTCTTTTGCCATCTTGTCTTCTTCTTGCATTTGTCACTTGTATCCACTGAATCCACGTGCAACATCTTGAGACCTCAGTCATCGATCAGGCCTTTCCGGTGGGATTGCCTGAAAGGTCCCAAGTCCACATCCTCCTTCACTTGGAGTGCCATGCATCGAATGCGGGCAAGACTGTGATGCGGAGCTCGGGTACGGTCATGAAACACTGACCATACTATACAAAATATAGCGCGCCACAGCCACACACACAGATATGTAATGATACACAATGATATATATATATATCATCAATTATACAGTATGCATATATCATGTAAAGCGTGTCAAAGCATTCGCCTTCGATGATGCGTCCTCCCCAAATGAAGATTCGGATTCAGAGGTGTCTTCAGAATCGCTGGTCAAGCTGGTCCTGGCAATTCTTTTGATAACCAAGGACAAACTTCGGGTGCTTTGCGGAATGAACTCAGGACGAACCGGACGGTTGCATCGAAATTCGGAAGCATCTGTATATGAGTACAGAATCATACAGACCTATTTACTTCTATCTGCCTACTGTAAAACAGTCTACTGTAAATAGATATGACTCTTGTGGATTTTCATCTCATGTCCTGCTGTGAGCGCGAATCAAGTGCTGCTGCGGAGCCAAAAGGCTCTCTCCCTCCAGAGACAGCTGAAGAAGACCTAGCTCGCAAACCGAGAGGAAACAACCGAAATAGGATGTGCACAATCCATTAGAGACCAGGACTACGTCGTGAATGTTATGATTGCTATGAACAAGCAAACACGTTGACACTTTTGTTGAAACACGTTGAAACGGTTTGCATTGCTCCTCCACATACACGATATCAGATCCCTTCAAATTTTCTCACGGGCCTTTGCAATCCTTGGATCCCATGGAACAGCTACAACATACATCAACATACTATAACGGCCAGCTGACTTGTATTCCCAAGTGTGACTTCCAATAAGCAATTCTTGTGGGGCTCGCCTGCGCTTGTTGACCCTCGCTCTTCTTCAACTGCAGCAGGGTGGCAAAGCACCGCCAGAAAACTCCAGAGCTTGGACAAGAAGGGAAACACACACGCAACACATATGTAACACCTGGTCACGAGAAGATCTCCGCTTTGTGTCTTTGCAAACTGAGTCACTGAATGCATCAGGTTTTTACATGTTTTTACTACTATAATTGAATCCGTTCGAGGCGCCACTGGAATACGCTGCAATATTCACCATGATTCACTCTTCACACTGCAGTACAAGTCCATGGAAAAATATGCAGAATTCAAACATATTCAAACCATTTCAAACCAACTAATTATAACTAATTACTAGAAAATCAAGCCAGTTGGCTACAGCTTCACTGTATCAGGATGTATCAGGGCTTTTCCCTGGCCTTCTGGAAATGCTGCAAGAGGTTTACGCTGTGGACTGTCTTGTAAAGCTTCAGTTTGTTCAGCTTGTTCGGCTTCAGCTCTACGACGGAAAATCGTTGAGCGAATCTGTCTGGAGTATTTTTTTGCGATGACGTGGCCTTTCCTGTTGTTGATGAAGTCTTCCATTTCTGGCACCGCGCACACGAGTGGCAACGTGCGATATGAAGAGCACATGCATCTACAACATTCTACAACCACAGCTGTGCCCGACTCAGCTAGATCAAACGTACTGCGTCAACTTGACAAATCCCAGGACTTTCACTTCAGATTCTTTGTCCTCAAAAAAAGACGCAGACTCAGACTATGACAATGCTGCACTTCTCCGTCGTCCGCCTTCATTCTGCCTCATCATGTCAAGATCAAAGTCAGGCGCCGGCATCTCTTCTTCTGGCTCCTTACAACCGCAAAAATCGTGGCATATTCAGTAACAAACGGAATGCCACCGAGCCAAATCCAAAGCGCTCGAAATTTTCTCCAAGTCATAAACAAGGACGATGTTTTAGTAACTTGAGGTAATGTGCAGGGCTTGGACAAGCAGAAGTTGCAAATTGCCAGCAAGGCGCGAGGCTCTGAATGCTCTCAACGTCTTGGGCATCTGGTTGATCTTGTTCCATGAGCGCACGCCTAAAGGGCGATGTTGAATGGATCGCGTCAACAAATGCCAGGAGTGGTTCAAACGCATTCTGGCAAGAAACCAGATTTCAAATAAATTTAAGGGGTTGGGTTCCGATGACGAAGCTACAGAGTTCAATGTGGGGAAATTTTGGGGACAGCACTTTGCACATGCCAATCATTTTCTTCTGTTTTTTCTTCATTTTGTTCTTTGAATTGCTTTCGCTACGGTTTACCAGCTGAGCGAAGTCTCTGCTGAGACCATTCAGCTATCCAACAGTCACAACCAGCTACGAGTACTTCTTTTCAAACCTTCGATCCCATGCGAACAAGCCACCCGAGCTTCTGTTCCCAGTTGCGACCAAACTCTTTCCTGCATGTGAGTTTGTGCAACTGGCTCACAAATAAAGGCTCACAAAATCCCCAAGCAAACTTTGAGGGACAAAAACATGCATTTTTTGAGGCAACGCAATCCGACCAAACACACTACCAAACACGACGTAAGAAATCATAAGAATCCATAGATAAGGGTAAGGGTATTCAACTTGTAATCCGGGCGTCCTCAACTTGCTCTTCTCAGTATCCAATTTGCTCTTCCTCTGCTCAATTCGATTGTCCCAAAATTCCAGCTGCTTGCCTCAGCAAGGATCAGCAATTTTAAATTACATTGCCATGCATTTCATGTTTTAGTCAGGAATCATCTGGGTCTGTCCAAGTGCTAACAGCTGCACTGCTAGCATGTCCGATTCCATTGCATCCAAACTTCTGAGTCGACGATTCCTGTCGTGTGCATTCTCCATGTCCTCACACGGGGCAAAGACAGAGTCAGTCACCCCAAACGTCCGAGACAGGAACACATGGGACAAAGTCAGTCACTGGTGAACACTAGCACAGGATGCAGGGAAACCAGGAAGAGGAGACAGAGAGTCAGCAAGCGCGAGTCAGTCACCCCTCGGAAGCCGGGAGGAGGATCAAGGAACCTGGAGGAAAACAGAAAGTCAACAACAAAGAGTCAGTCACCCTTGAAAGCCATCTATCTACCTACCTGCCTACCTATCTATCTATCTCTCTCTCTCTCTATCTATCTCTCTATCTATAAAACAGAACGTCAACAACGAAGAGTCCCTCAAGAAACCTTAACGCAACCCTAAAGAAACTCCAAAGCAACACTAAGCAAAGCCTAAGCCAACCCTCGCGCAAACCCTGACAAAACCCTACATTAACCCTAAACCAAACCTAAATAAACCCTACACCATTTTTGAAACCCTTATTAACCCTAAACCAACCCCAAAGAAACCCTAAACCAACCCGAAATATACCCTAAACCAACTCCTAAATATACCCTGAACGAAACCTAAACAAACCCTAAACTAACCCTAAGTAAACCCTAAACCACCCTTGAATAAACCCTAAACCAACCCTAAGCAAACCCCAAACCAGAGCTAAAACAAACCGTAAACCAACCCCAAAACAAACCCTGACGAAACAATAATTCAACCCTAAACCAAAACCAAAAGAAACCCTAAACCAAACCAAGACTACATAAACCCTAAAACGAACCCTACAGAAACCCTAAACCAACCCTCAAGCAAACCCTGACGAAACCCAAACCTTAAACCAAACCTAAATAAACCCTAAACCAAGCCTAAATAAACCCCAAACCAACACTGAGTAAACCCTAAACAAACCTTGACGAAGCGCGACATTAACCATTAACCCGAAGCCAACCTCAAATAAAACCTAAACCAAGCCTGACTATACCCTACACCAAGCCGAAATAAACCCTAGTCCAACCTTTGCACAAACCCTGATGAAACACGAGCTTAACCTTAACCAACCCTTAAAAACCCTAAACCAAGCCTAAATAAACCGCAAACCAAGCCTAAATAAACCCAACACCAACCAATTACCCTAAACCAACCCTTTAAAAACTCTAAATCAAGCCTAAATAAACCCCAAACCAACACTAAGTCAACCCTAAACAGACCCTAAAACAAACCATGAGGAAACCCTGCAGAAACCTTAAACCAACCCTAAATAGACCCCAATACATCTTGAAACAACCCTGAACCAACCCTAAAGAAACCATGTCCCTTTGATGGCCCACGAGGCACGCCGCAGGGCATTCACCCCTCGCCCCCAGTGGGGCTGTAGAGGGTGCACAAGACAGTCTTCACAGTAAAATCGGTCCTTCTGAAGACGCTCTGCTCTCTCTTCGTTGGTCTCTGGTGCAGCAGATTTCTGCAATCGAAGTTCATCGAAGATGCCTGCCTTAATGCAATCGATGCCATGCGGCGGTGATTTCGCCAATGTCTAAATTTGGAACTGAAAGCTGAACACCTTGATGCCCCTTCTGCGTGATAGCGATGCAGCAGGTACCCCAGCCAAACTTTGTCGAAGAATGAACCCTGCATTCATTCAAGACAATTGAAGTATATAAGCATCGCACCAAAAATGTAATTCACTATCTACAATGCCATATCGAAAGGCAGAGTGAACATTCGGCGACTCTGAAACTTTGTGTCTGAGTCTGAACATGCAATTAACTACCTCAACAATGACTCAGCAATCCTTCACATCACCTTCGTGACATTCTCGCCGTGCCCACAGCCACAAGACCCTTACCAACTTGCCCAACGCAAAATGCCAAGCACTCCGGAAAAATGGTTTCAAACCCGTGCCTTGAAAAGACTTCAACACTTCCCACACACTTTCTTCCTACTAGTTGTTTGGTATACGGTTTACCGGTATACGCTTTGTGAAATTGCGCCTGGTGCTCTGCCAAGACACTTATACAAGCCCCCATAATGACAACATTTACAATCATTTACGCACTGCACACAATGAGACCATCACAAATCGCTTTTGCAGCAAAACTATGCTGCATTTCGCAGAGTGTCAGTCATGAAATCTGTTTTTTATGTATTGGCCTTCCTGTCTCTAAGAACACCTTAAATCAAACAATGAAGACAACTAAGAAAACTACGAAAAGAAAAAGCAAGAAGCCCACTGGGGAGAGCTCAACGTAATCTGAACCAAAGTCGGATACCTCAAACCAGGTATACAAAGCGGTTCTGTGATTTAAGAGTTTTAAGATGTTTTAAGAGCATTTTAACTACAATTTTCCAACATTTTCCAACTACGGCGGAGTGCTCATCTCACCATGCAAAAACCATGGACAGAGCTCAGGAAACCACAAAGAAGCACAAAGAAGTTATATGAAGTTATATTATACAATATTATATGTTATATTATTAATATAACATTATATAACATTATATAACATGTCTTACTATTCATATACACTGTGTGTTCAAAATTTGCCTTGCGCGTGTCCTACTTTTCAAGTTTTGCCACATGAGTAGCTGCTGAAGCCTTGAGATCCACAATGAAAAAGGACCCACGATGTGTCGGTGCTATGAAACCTCCCAAAACCTTCTTGCAAATCCATGCAGTGCACACCACATAGAACCATAATGAACCATATAGAAATAAACATTGAAGATCACCAAGCTATCAATTTTCGCAAACTCCCAGAATCTTCCAACTTCGTAGCTACTTCCAAAATGCTGGAAGTGTCGACGGAAGACGGAAGGTTCTCAAACACTTGGCGTGGCGCCTGCTCCAAAAGCTTCTTGAGCAACTTGTACTTCACATTGCGCGTTTGAAGAATCCTAGTGGGTGGGCTGGGATCTTGCTGAGATCTTGCTGATATATCTGATATTGAATGGGACTTTGAATGTATCAGAGAATGGGACCTTCTTTCGATGGGCAATTCGATGGCTGATGATGGGCACAGCCAGATCTTTCTTCTGTGCAAGCTCTGAAAAGGTTGGGGCGTTGGCAACAATTTGATCATTTTGCGTATTTTGCTTAAAATGAAAATAGGTGAATCAATCTATAGGTGCATCAATCTACGATCAACCTGAAGCTTTCTCAAGCTTCGGGGTAAAATCCGCCGACCCCGGCAGACGCAAGGGGGAGTGCGTAAGGGAAAAAGAGTTTATGACACAGCTGCCAGGAAAGAAATAATAATAATTCGCTGACCCCGGCCGATGCAAGGGGGAGCATACAGCTGCCAGGAAAGAATAATAATAATTCGCTGACCCCGGCCGATGCAAGGGGGAGCGCGTAAGGGAAGAAGAGGTACTGCACTGCTACTTTTACTACCAGGCAGCAGCAGGCAGCAGCAGGCAGCAGGCAGCAGGAAGCAGCCAGCAGCAGCCAGCAGCAGCCCGCACCAGCCAGCAGCAGCCAGCAGCAGGCAGCAGTAGGTGTCTGGCAGGCAGCATCCGGCAGCAGCAACCAGCAGCAGCCGGCGTTAGGCAGCCAGCAGCAGCCAGCAGCAGCCGCCAGCAACAGCCAGCAGCAGGCAGGAGCAGGCAGCAGCCAGCAGCAGGCAGGAGCAGCAGGCAGCAGCAGCAGGCAGCAGCAGGCAGCAGGCAACAGGATTCTATTTTAATTTTATTTTATGGCAGCAACAGCAAGAGCAACAGCAACAGCAACAACAACAACAACAACAACAACAACAAGAATAGGTGGTGTTTTGCTGTTTCGGATGTGTTTCGAAAAGGGTGTCTGGCTGTTTGTTTCTTGCTTTGGAGGCTGTTTGATTGCAGCAGCACCACAGCAGCAGCAGCAGCCACCAGCAGCAGCAGCAGGCAGCAGCAGCAGCAGGCAGGCAGCAGCAGGCAGCAGCAGGTAGCAGCAGGCAGCAGCAGGCAGCAGCAGACACCAGCAGAGGCAGCAGCAGGCAGCAGCAGGCAGCGGCAGGCAGCGGCAGGCAGCGGCAGGCAGCGGCAAAGGGGCAATTTTAAGTAGGGTTTCAGACGTGACGTTAGGCCCTTTTTTGGGGTTCCTTTGCTACGTTTTGGGCACGAAATTAGGTGGTGTTTTGCTGTTTCGGATGTGTTTCGAAAAGGGTGCCTGGCTGTTTGTTTCTTGCTTTGGAGGCTGTTTGATTGCAGCAGCACCACAGCAGCACCACAGTAGCAGCAGCAGCAGCCACCAGCAGCAGCACCAGCAGCAGGCAGCAGCAGGGAGCAGCAGGCAAGCAGCAGCAGGCAGCCGCAGGCAGCCGCAGGCAGCTGCAGGCAGCAGCAGGCAGCAGCAGGCAGCAGCAGACACTAGCAGAGGCAGCAGCAGGCAGCGGCACAGCAGACACCAGCAGAGGCAGCAGCAGGCAGCAGCAAGCAGCAGCAGGCAGCGGCAGGCAGCGGCAAAGTTGCAATTTTATAGTAGGGTTTCAGAAGTGACGTTAGGCCCTTTTTTGGGGTTCCTTTACTACGTTTTGGGTACGAAATTAGGTGGTGTTTTGCTGTTTCGGATGTGTTTCGAAAAGGGTGTCTGGCTGTTTGTTTCTTGCTTTGGAAGCTGTTTGATTGCAGCAGCACCACAGCAGCAGCAGCAGCAGCACCACCAGCAGGCAGCAGCAGGGAGCAGCAGGCAGGCAGCCGCAGGCAGCCGCAGGCAGCTGCAGGCAGCAGCAGGCAGCAGCAGGCAGCAGCAGACACCAGCAGAGGCAGCAGCAGGCAGCAGCAAGCAGCAGCAGGCAGCGGCAGAGGCAGAGCAGGCAATCAGCAGCAGCGCAGGCGGCGCAGGCAGCGGCCAAGTTGCAAATTTATAGTATGGGTTTCAGAAGTGGACTTTAGGCCCTTTTTTGGGTTTCCTTTTGGCTACCACGTTTTGGGCACGAAATTAAGGTGGTGTTTTGCTGTTTCTTATGTGGTTCGAAAGGGTGTCTGGCTGTTTGTTTCTTGCTTTGGGGAGGCTGATTTGATTGGCAGCAGCACCAGACACAGCAGCAGCAGCAGCCACCATCAGCAGCACCAGCAGCAGGCAGGCATCAAAGGAGCAAGCGGGCAGGCAGCACAAGGGCGGAGCAGTAAGTCCAGCAGGCAGCAGCAGGCAGCAGCAGGCAGCAGCAGGCAGCAGCAGACACCAGCAGAGGCAGCAGCAGGCAGCAGCAGGCAGCGGCAGGCAGCGGCAGGCAGCGGCAAAGTTGCAATTTTAAGTAGGGGTTCAGACGTGACGTTAGGCCCTTTTTTGGGGTTCCTTTGCTACGTTTTGGGCACGAAATTAGGTAGTGTTTTGCTGTTTCGGATGTGTTTCGAAAAGGGTGTCTGGCTGTTTGTTTCTTGCTGTGGAGGCTGTTTGATTGCAGCAGCACCACAGCAACACCACAGCAGCAGCAGCCACCAGCAGCAGCACCAGCAGCAGGCAGCAGCAGGCAGGCAGCCGCAGGCAGCCGCAGGCAGCTGCAGGCAGCAGCAGGCAGCAGCAGGCAGCAGCAGACACCAGCAGAGGCAGCAGCAGGCAGCGGCACAGCAGACACCAGCAGAGGCAGCAGCAGGCAGCAGCCAGCAGAGGCAGCAGCAGGCAGCGGCACAGCAGACACCAGCAGAGGCAGCAGCAGGCAGCAGCAAGCAGCAGCAGGCAGCGGCAGGCAGCGGCAGGCAGCGGCAAAGTTGCAATTTTATAGTAGGGTTTCAGAAGTGACGTTGAAGGGCCCCTTTTGGGTCCTTTGCTACCGTTTTAGGCCGAAATAGGTGTGTTTTTTGCATTGTTTCGGAGTGTTCGAAAAGGGTGCCTGGCTGTTTGTTTCTTGCTTTGGAGTCTGTTTGATTGCAGCAGCACCACAGCAGCAGCAGCAGCCACCAGCAGCAGCACCAGCAGCAGGCAGCAGCAGGGAGCAGCAGGCAGGCAGCAGCAGGCAGCAGCAGGTAGCAGCAGGCAGCAGCAGGCAGCAGCAGACACCAGCAGAGGCAGCTAAAATCATCCTTTTCTCTAGGTTTCAGAAGTTACATTAGGGAGTTTTTGGGCGCAATTTTGATGCTTTTCCGTCCTTCACTGCCATGGGGATTTGCCGCTGGGAGTGGTTCGATTTTAGGCGATTGCCTTTTGAAGATGCCTTTTTGAACAGAAGGACTAGCAGGAGCAGGAGCAGCAGCAGCAGCAGGAGGAAACAGGAGGAAACAGGAGGAAAAAGTAGCTAAAATAGCTCATTTTCTCTAGGTTTCAGAAGTTACATTAGGGAGTTTTTGGGCGCAATTTTGATGCTTTCCCGTCCTTCCCTGCCATGGGGATTTGCCGCTGGGAGTGGTTCGGTTTTAGGCGACTGCCTTTTGAAGATGCCCTTTTGAATAGAAGGAATAGCAGGTAGCAGGAGCAGGAGCAGCAGCAGGAGGAAACAGGAGGAAACAGGAGGAAAAAGTAGCTAAAATAGCTCATTTTCTCTAGGTTTCAGAAGTTACATTAGGGAGTGTTCGGGCGCAATTCTGATGCTTTTCCGTCCTTCACTGCCATGGGGATTTGCCGCTGGGAGTGGTTCGATTTTAGGCGATTGCCTTTTGAAGATGCCTTTTGAAGATGCCTTTTTGAAAGACACTAGCAGGAGCAGGAGCAGCAGCAGGAGGAAACAGGAGGAAACAGGAGGAAAAAGTAGCTAAAATAGCTAATTTTCTCTAGGTTTCAGAAGTTACATTAGGGAGTTTTGGGCGAATTTTGATGCTTTTCCGTTTCCTTCACTGCCATGCGGATTTGCACTGGGAGTGGTTCGCCCAGCACGATTTACGATCGATTTCCCCCCAACCCCCGCCGCGTCGCGATTCGATTTTAGGCGCCTGCCTTTTGAAGATGCCTTTTTGAACAGAAGTAATAGCAGGTAGCAGGAGCAGGAGCAGCAGCAGGAGGAAACAGGCGGAAACAGGAGGAAAAAGAAGCTAAAATAGCTATTTTTTTCTAGGTTTCAGAAGTTACATTAGGGAGTTTTTGGGCGCAATTTTGATGCTTTTCCGTCCTTCACTGCCATGGGGATTTGCCGCTGGGAGTGGTTCGATTTTAGGCGATTGCCTTTTGAAGATGCCTTTTTGAACAGAAGGACTAGCAGGAGCAGGAGCAGCAGCAAGAGGAAACAGGAGGAAACAGGAGGAAAAAGTGGCTAAAATAGCTCATTTTCTCTAGGTTTCAGAAGTTACATTAGGGAGTTTTTGGGCGCAATTTTGATGCTTTTCCGTCCTTCACTGCCATGGGGATTTGCTGTTGGGAGTGGTTCGGTTTTAGGCGACTGCCTTTTGAAGATGCCCTTTTGAATAGAAGGAATAGCAGGTAGCAGGAGCAGGAGCAGCAGCAGGAGGAAACCAGGAGGAAAAAGTAGCTAAAATAGCTCATTTTCTCTAGGTTTCAGAAGTTACATTAGGGAGTGTTTGGGCGCAATTCTGATGCTTTTCCGTCCGTCACTGCCATGGGGATTTGCCGCTGGGAGTGGTTCGATTTTAGGCGATTGCCTTTTGAAGATGCCTTTTTGAACAGAACGACTAGCAGGAGCAGGAGCAGCAGCAGGAGGAAACAGGAGGAAACAGGAGGAAAAAGTAGCTAAAATAGCTAATAGCTAAAATAGCTAATTTTCTCTAGGTTTCAGAAGTTACATTAGGGAGTTTTTGGCCGCAATTTTGATGCTTTTCCGTCCTTCACTGCCATGGGGATTTGCCGCTGGGAGTGGTTCGGTTTTAGGCGACTGCCTTTTGAAGATGCCCTTTTGACTAGAAGGAATAGCAGGTAGCAGGAGCAGGAGCAGTAGCAGGAGGAAACAGAAGGAAACAGGAGGAAAAAGAAGCTAAAATAGCTAATTTTTTCTAGGTTTCAGAAGTTACATTAGGGAGTTTTTGGGCGCAATTT